TTATTAGTGAAATATGAGAAAAATAACAAAGAAATTATTGTTAAATTTGATGAATTAGAACAGTATATTTACAAATATTATATTAATGGATGCCGAAAATGTAAAGCAAATAAAAATAGTTGTAATGTATTAAATAATATTCTACCAATTGAATTAGTAGATAATATTAAAAAATTTCAATTGTTGCTATAATTGCGAATGTTTAATTAACATATTCAAAAATAGACCTAAATACGATGATATATTTATCAATGTTTCATTACGGCAACTTTATTTACAATACAAAGCAGAAAAAGAAGACAAATTAACTTATGAGAAGTTTAAAAATACTATTTTTGATAATAAGGAAAATTATAACATTGAAACAAAAAACAAAATATCTAAAATCATAATAAATAACAATATTAAGCAAAAAATAAACCAAAAGAAGAAAACAAAACAGAACCAAAAGAGACCCCAGACCAGAAATATTTAAGAGAACAAAAAGAATATTTTTTAAAAACAGGAGGCAGGGTCGCTTTTGATTATTTATTTTCAATCATCAGCCCCAAAAACATTTAAAATATCGGTATTATTATATTACAATGGCAGAAGTCAAGGCTAAAAGTAGAAGCAAACCAAAAGCAACACCCAAAAAAGAACAACCGCCAGAACTAATTAACAAAAACCATAACGAAGAAAGAGCAGAAAATGCTAATAATATTAGTTTTAGTCAGTGGTTCAATGATAATTTCAAATCATCAAAAGAAGGCAAATTAAATGGTTTTACAGTTTTTCAAAAGTGGAAACATTTTGCAGGGAATGATAAACTAATTATATTCCAATTCTATAAACTATTAAAAGATGCGAATATTACAGTAGCAAAAGAAAACAACAGTAATTGTATTGTAGGATATGAATTAAGAAATCCAAACGCCAAGGAGTTATTAAGTTGATAATTTTTTAATATAGGTTATTCAAAAATGATACCCGAACTAAAGTATCACTGATACCCGAACTAAAGTATCAATGATACCCAGATACCAGTATCCAAGTATCAATGATACCAGTATCCAAGTACCTATAAGGTCCTTTTACTTATCTTGTACTTATAGATGTTAATTTGAGCTTGCGGAAGTTAAGAATTCTGTACTTACACAGATGTTATAAGTAGGTTATAAGTAGGTTGTAAGTAGTTCGAGGTGTTGGGTTTTTTCTTGTTTTCACGTATGATGGGCTCTGGCAGCTGAATCTTTTTGACGCGAATTGGCACGGGGCATCTATAGTGCAGGCAGTGGACTAAGTCGTCGACACCACGTGGGCTTCGAAAGTTGGTCCGTGGCACATACGCGGATGAACATCGCGTCTTGCGCGATGGAGCGCCACACAGACCCCCAGAAAGGCGAGGTTTTCTGAGACCTGGCCGACACTGACCGACACGAGGCCGACACGCGCAAAGGCCATGCCTGCTAATTGCTTTATATAGGACCGACACGGACCGACGTGCTTTTCCCCCCGCCCGCCAGGACCCTGGCGAAGACTTCTTCCCTTCTGGCCCCGCAGGCTCCATGCCGCTCCAACAAGCCAAAACCCCGAACGCTTGACGGAACAAAGGCACTGACAGACGTGGTGTGTGACGGACCAAATGCAACGTCACGCACCGTAGCCACAGCCACGCGATGCCAAAAAACAACCTTCCAACAAAAAGCTAACTAGATCACAAGTTCGACCTAAGTTCAACCGAACTAACCTCTCTTCCGACAGTAAGTGTCTACCAAGTCCAGGCTAACTACAATTACCGCGTTAACATACTTATAGAATTTACAAGCATACTTGGAGAACATGCAAGCCATTCATGACTTGTTTACAACCAACTCAAATGTAAAAGGACCTTACTGGCATCACTGACACCCAAACCAAACCTGGCAGCCGACATGTGTCTTATCTGACGGCATGTGGAGCTGGAGGAATTGTTGCTCAGCGGGCTTGCGCACAGAAGGCTGCCGCTCTGGAGTGGGCAGGAAAGGCGATGCGGCATTTGCGCATGCCTCGCAATCCTTGGGCCATGGGAGTCACTTGGATAACCGTGGTCTCACGACGGATGACTGGACTGGTCCAGAGTTGATTGGCCATTGTGCTCCCTCTGTAAAGGGGAGTTGCGGCAGGAAAAGGGCAAGGACGACAAAAAATTCCCAAAGGGGATGAGCTGCAATATGGTCTCTTGTGACTGCGGTGAGCCATTCAGCACAGTCGCTTTGCTGAGCACCTCCGGAACGTAGAAGGCGAGCCTGTATCTCCTTCATGGAGTGATGCCCCAGGACCCATCCCTGACCCTAAACGCCCATGAGAATGGTATGGAAAAGACCCGCCCGCGTGACATGTTCTCTTCCGCATGGATGAGATGCGGCATCAGCAGGGGTGGCAGAAGTTTTGCAAAGCAGCAAACACACCCTTTGGCATCGCCACTGCTCCGGTCCGTCTACGGGTGCCAGTGAGGGGCCATAAACGCAAGCGCCTTGTTTTTTCTCACGCTTGGTCTGAGATCAGCTGTGTGCAAAAGGTGATCGGCTGCGTGCAAGGCCCGTGTGAAACAGGTGAAACTTTGGACAATCCTAGCATGGTATCTGTACCTCTTTGTACAAAATTGGAAACGTCGGACATCAACAAAGGGAACTAAGGTTCCCTCTGGGCATCCTCCATTGCCACTCTCTACCACCCGCCTGTTGGAAACGAGAAGCTAAGGCTCTCATTCCGATTGGCTCACAGCGTTGCGAATGGCGAGAAGAGGTCGGTGATCCTATTAGTGCTTGCGCATCTTACTTGCCGCAATCCGCTGTCGGTGTGCTTGTCCCATTCCAGCTGCGAAGACATTGCTGGTTTTTGCAGGTCTGAATAGTCTTCTTGCCTGTGATCACTGGCATCTGTCGACAGCTCTCAGCGCTGTCTGGACTAGACAGGTCATCCAGTTCATTCAAGGACACATGTCCTTTGCGATGTGCAGTTTTTCCTTTGCTTGCCCCTTGCTCAAAAGTGCGGGCATATCGCCATGATACTCATGGATAGAACCTCCTATGGAAGGGTACAATTGCGATGTTTGCGAAGCTACGTGTACGCTACAAGACGCGTCGCGGTACTGCTACCTACAGCGTTCTTCCTTACACGAAGCACAGGGAGAGCCCGGGCGGGTGCCTTTAAAGAACAACGAACAACGAACGTATCGATCCCAAAAAGCAAATGACTCACAAGATCGGACTCCCCTCAACTTTTCCTTCACTCACACACACGCAAGCAAACGTGTCGTGTTCGCTTGACTTGTTCTGGCTTTACGTTGAGCTTGAGCCAACGTAAAAACATTGACTGCTCACATCAAGCTATGCAAAAGTCGACCACGTGGGTTCCTTTCAAAAGCATCATGTTGTGCAAAGTGAACTCCACATCAAGTGGTCGCAGAAAAACCAACGTGCCAAATCCTCTTGAACTGTACTTGGCTCAAAACACTCCAAAAGCTACGCATGAAGGTACGAGTCAAAGACATTCAAACCGCTTTGACTCACATAGTACCAAAGAGGTTCGTGGTGCATTGTCGTGAACTCAGGGGCGCTCAAATCCCTGAAAGTGGCTCGTAGTGCATTGTTCTAGACGTGTAGATGCTCAAGTCGCATCAAAGAGGTCCAATATCCTCTCACACCCCCTTTCGAATTGAGCATCTCTGGAAAAATTCCCTCCAGTCTCGTCAGCTTTCAAAGCGAAGACAGCGCCGAAACCAAAAGGTAAAGCCACAAGCTTCTCAATTCACTTCAAGACCCTCCGAACCGTTGACTCGGAGTAGTAGCCACCATCGCCCAAACGGCCATCAAAGATCATCTCATAGGCTTGCAGAAAATCACCAAAGTCTCCTGCCGGCCCAGTCGAGCCTTTCAAACGCTTGCACCAAGCCACATAGGCCTCATGCTTCGGGTCTGCCACAATCTCCTTGTAGCTGAGCCCTGAATCCTTCAGCTTGCCAAAAGCAATCACAGTGCGGGACCATTCCACAAAGCTGTCAACCCCTTTGGGGAGCAAATGCTTCACTTTGCCCTCATCTGCAATCGTCACATCCATAGCTGCAAGGGTGGCCACACGATCCTTCGGTGAACCGGGAAATGGGACTTCCTCAAATTCATCACTCTCAAAGTCAACCAAGCGCCTCTTCGCAGCATCCGTCATGCTACCTGCAGTCTGCGCGACGCAAGGTGGCACAATGCCTTGGCTCCTGCGAGCCAGCATCACCTGCAAGGCCTTTTCATCAGCCTCGGACCATGCACCTTCGGCCATGGCTTCTCACAAGGTCGACCGGCTAGAAGCGCAAAAGAAGCTGTTTCCAAACAAAACCGGCCAAACAAAAGAAAGGAAACTCAACGGGCCCGCATTAGGCCTCACACGCACACACCACAACACACACTCGGAAAGCGTTTCAGGTACACCTCTCTTTGAGAGTCACTTCACCCCAAAACCGGCAACGACGTCACGAGTTCACAAACTAAGTGCAAAACAAACATGACTGCAATTCCAAGTGTGATGCTTGATGCAAAAAAACCGAAAGTCACAAGAAGCACTATGTTAGAGGCGTCTTAGACGTCTTACTTGCATTCATTTTCGCGTTTCGCGATTTATGGTGTTTGCTGTAAATGCTTGCTCCTTGCTCCTGATCCTCAAGCGAATTAAGTTCACTGCCAGCTCACTACCAAACTAAGGTTCACAAACGATCGGTCCTCAGGGATCTCTTCGCGCCGCTTTCATAGCATTCAAAATGCCTCTTGACAAAGTAGGAGAATAGAAAGCAGTCTTTGAGTAGTCTGTATCTGAAAATGCTGCGTGTTCTGAACAAGTGCACTTTCCAAATCTCTTTGTCAACGATGCGCAAAACCCTCTTGAGGACGAAACGAAACTAAGCTTCTTGCCCACTGGAGTCCCGGACCTACCTGAGTATCCTGCCTGACAAAGGTTCACAACACTCTGATGCACTAGACCACATTTCTCCATCACACGAAGAGTAAGTGGCCTCCCCATATGTTGTTGTACAACGGGAGTTCAAATGAGCCCACGTCACCAAGCCTCAGGTAATGCGTGGTTGCTTCCATGACTTGTTCCCATGTCTGCTGTTCTTCGGAAGACAGTTTCTCAGTTTCTCGAAAGTGCTGCAACGGTGAACCTGTCTTACATGGTGTGGATACGTGCACATGAATCCAAAACCCTTGGCTCCTTTTCATCTTTACCAAGTGGGCAACCCTCTGTTTGATTCCTTTTGTTTCCATGTTAGCCGTGATACCAACATACATAATGTTCGATCGCTCACAGGCCAACCTCAAGTTGGAATTCTCAGCGCAACACACCTCAACCATCAAGTAGTCTGGGTTGTTTGAACCTGATGCCTGATTGCTTACATGAAACGCTTCAGCCAACAACCACAGCTCATTCAATGGCATGTCCGCTTGCATGAATCCCAACACCGCTCGATGTCGAAGGAAATCACGTGTTCCGAGACACTTGGTGAAAAGATCTGCCACATTCTGCGTTCCCGCTCGATGTCGAAGTTGCACCTCATTGGAACTAACACGTTCCTTCAACCATGTCAACTTGATATCAATGTGCCGGGAACGACGTGGAAGATCAACAGCACCAATCAACTGCAACGCTGAGCTGGAATCTGATTCCAATACAATGTCCACCTGTTCCTTCTCCTCAATCTCTCCCAAGCCGAAGAGAACGCGATGCACAAAATGGGAGAAGGCAACTGCCTCCTGTGTGAGATGCTGAATAGCATATAGCTCAGCCTCACAAGACGATAGCGAAGTGGCCTGCTGTTGCTTTGCCAGAGATCGAATCAAGCCTGCCTCGACCATAATGACCCCTCCAGTGATGCCTTTTCGCTGGTTGAATTCATAGGGGGCATGTGATGCGTCTGAAAAGGTGTGTAAGAACGTCACCATGCCATCATGGTCTGTGAGTCTCACTCCCTCATACTCTGGAGATGGAAGGCGAAGGACTGTGTTTCGATCTGTGAACAAATACCTCAATACTGCCCTAATGGCCGCTTCTGTGCTTTGTGTTGGGGCTGACTGCTGTGTACCAATTAGTGATAGCCATAACTTGAGGTCTGCTCTACTCTGGGCTAACCAAATGAGGCGACCGAGTCCCCGACGAAACCGGGAGTACGCTTCCGACGACAATGGTGTTTTCGATGATGCATCCTTCTTTTCCATCAGGCCTGCTATGTTAGGCACAGCACTCGATCCTTGTGTGATTCCAAATTCTTTGAAAGTAGGGTTGAGATACTCTGGATCTACTGCTACAAAGATCGCCTTCTCCTGGGGCCTTCGATAAAGATGTCTCCCAATGAATGACACCTTTCCGCCTCCTTCATCTGACGGAAGAATCTGTCCAGTCACCTTGGTTGGTACAACTGCCGAAATGGCACTGATCACGCTCCTTTCCGCCTGTTCTGTAGAGGTGCACAACAGAATGTCATCCACGTACACCATAAGCATGCCGACACCCAGCACCTGAGAGTCTTCACCAAAGATTTCTCCCTGGTAAATACAGGGCTCAAGTTCGTCTGACCACAATCCTTGACTTTTGACAGTCTCACTCAAAAGATTCAACCACCTCAGGCTCGCATCTCTCAACCCGTTGAGCGCTCGATCTAAGTGGAGATACGCCACACTGCCATCAACCAAGCTCACAGACAGCGGAAGTCTCAATAAGATTGTCTCGGAGCTCGGAAGGGGAGAGTGCATGAAGGCGTGACTGATATCTAAGGTCTTCACTCGAAAATCCCTACTAGCGCTCAAGGAAAGGAGAAGAAACAACCCTTCTACACTGGGAGTGGGTGAGCTGTATCCCATGGCCCTAGCCGTCGTCCCCCTTTTAATATCCTTTGCCACAATCCGTGTCCTGACTTTGACTGGGGATTTCTTAGCGCATACCCATCTACTAGGTATTACTCTTGTGTTTTTGTTCAGTCTCTTCAAATCGTTCATTTGTTGTTCACTCAAGAGTTTCCCCGCCTTGCACTTCTCCAAATTGCCAATTTCCTCCAACATGCCCTCGAAACCCAACTTAGGTTCTAAGGCCTCCAACGTGCTGTCATCAATGACATGATCAGGGCACCAAATCAAAACCTTGCCTCCCCCAAGAGTGAGTTGCTTGGACACATGTTCCTTTCCATGATCAAATTGTATGGCACTGATCTCATCCAGAACTAGTGTTGGTGACGTCATTTGAACCCTAAAATCCAAAGATTCTAGTGATTCACCGGAGTCAAAACAAAACAAGTTCAAGGAAGACAAGATTGAGACTGTTTCCACAGCTTCAGTATTCGCCCTGGTCGTTTCTTCCAAATCTTGCACTGCCGTCTCAGCAGCTCTTTTGAACTGTCTGGTGTATTCGGCCTCCAATGGTACCGGAAGATTCTGGAGATTTTCCTGTGCATCAAAGGCTGCCCTGCGACGACGACACTGCGCTGAATGCCTGATTCCAGGCGCAACCATTCCTGTATCGCAAGCGGGACAAAAACGAGTCGGTTGAAACACCCTGGGTTGTGGTTCACCAGCAAGTTGGCTAGGAGGTGTTTGTCGCACAGCCGACTCTGACTCTGGAACAAAAGAAGGTTCTTCTATTCTAGGTACTTTTGGTTGACTGGCCTCAAACGCTTCTTGCTGATGCATGCGCTTTCTCTCTTGAGGCACGGGCACACCCTCAGGTCCTGGCAATGGCAATCGTGGTTCCTGTTCCATACCTTTGCGGACGGGAAGCTGAACTAGCTGCATGCTCGGCCTGCGGTGAATCGGCCAGCGCTCCTCTCGACACATGAACATCCTCAACCTCAATCGGGTGACCACTCATGGTGATAAACCCTGCTCCCATCTCTGCATCCCACTTCAATGGGAGAATTGGTCTCACATTTCTAGCAACAAATTGATGCAAAACAAGCTGGCCTTCAAACCGCACAAACCCTTGAACCTTGGGACCATGATCAAGTCCTGCGTGCAAATACGCCGCTTCGATGCTCCGAGTTTCGTTTGGAGCGCGGAAACGAACTGCATCTGGCAACTCAGCCAACACTGTAGCACCATACAAAGTTGATGTGGGTTTGCTAGGTCGCCTGCCGCACACAGTCTCCAGCGGTGAAAAGTCTGAACTAGGGGTCTTGCCGAAATGATTGTGAACTAAGGCCAAATACGTCAATGCTTCTGCCACACTGTTTGGTGTAAAGTTCAAATCGGCTCCAGACTTATTCAAGTCGGCTCTCAAAACACCCAAGCTCTCCTTAAGTCTGCGAACGGCAAGTTCCGCTGCACCCACACTCCGGTGCTGCTGTGGATTTGCCTTTCTCACTAGGAACGAAATCCTCTCTGAGCAATCTGAAATGAGATCTCCCACTGCCTGTTCCGCGTCAGTGTGTAAAACCACTGACGTGGCCCCTGATGTCGACGCCAATCCAAACAGCTCCAGCCATTTGGAAATCCTCTTCTTGACCGCCTTGAGGTCACTTGTGACAACGATGTATCCAACTGCATTCGACACCAGTTCTGTGAGAACTAGAATTTTGATATTTCCCAAGCCTTGGTCATCTTCCAAAATCTCACCCTGGCTTTTCAAATAACAAAAATCAGCTTGTATCTCACACTGTAACCCTTCCTCTGATCGTCGCCTGTGGGAGAAAACACTTCGTCCTCGCGCACACTCAACGCAACCTGGGTGAAAAGGTGTGTGTCCTTGTGCACGGTGTTGCTCAAGTTCACGCGCTGCTGCTCGTGACAACGGGTAGACAGGAAGTTCATAACCCTTCTCAGAAGCGGTCACCTCAGGCACACCTGCAATAGTAGACAACGACAATTGCTGTGATCCTGACACCTCGGCCTCATCAGTGTTGCGATCTAGAGTTTCTACAGGGTGGAGTCGAACCCAAGGGCAACCTGCAAAGTATGCCACCTCGCCTAGACGCTGACCAGTCGCGCTGTGTGTGACCTGGAAACCTTCATTGCTTTGTGAAAACTTCCAACCTCCAGCGCATAGCCTTGTGGTGGACAGGATGTTGCGCCTAATGTTTCCTACAAGAGCACGCAACGTTGCCTTCTTCCATGCGCACCCTTCCACATTTGAGCCTGAAGACCTGGAATCATTACGCAACATCATCCAAACAGATACGGATGCCTCGCCTTGCATGTGCACCTGACTTCCATTCGCAGCCCTGTAGCGATCACCATCTACTGCTGCCTGAACATCATGCACCATGTACACATGTTTGCATGCGCTGCTCATGACCGTGGCACTCGCACCTGAATCTAATAACCACCAAGTGTTATCATCTGTCACCATTTCAGACAAGAGGGGCATTAAAACTGGTACCCACTTCACAGACTGAGCTGCAACTGACAACGTTTGTTTCGTCTCGTTCAAAAAAGTTGAAACACACGGCAAAAGAAGTCGAATTCGGAGAGGTTCAAGTGCACACAACTCTTGACTCGTCTCGTTTGCATAAACAACCCGTTTGTCGTCTCTCAAACCACACTGCACATACGAAGCATGACATGACTGTGGAATGCCCGATATTTGTTCGCTTGGAAAACTGACAGGACACCCATCCAAAAAGACCCCGTCCAAACGTCGACGTTTGGACCCCCCCTCTTTTGCGGGGGAAGGGAAGTCAGACAGAGCCGGAAGAGCATGACATGAATGTGCATCTCCATGCGTCTTTTCGATTGTCGTTTCTCCTGCACTCTTCTCTAAGCCCTTTGCCAAAGGTCCGGACAAATCTGGACACTTCGAAGGCTCTGTCGCAGTCTCTGCGTCGTGCTCCGGTGGTTCCAATTCCAAACAAGGCCGCATTGACACAAAATCACAAAGGACAAAAACTGGTGAAAGAATCAAACTTCCAAGTGCATTTCCTTCTGACTTCACAGCATCCGTGCGATACTGAGTTTCTGAACCAAGCTCTCCGCCTGTGCCGTAGCCATCTTGACTGGTCTCAACCCAGCCAGAATGCCAATCCTCCTGCACGTGCCATGCCGCGTCACTCCAAGTCGCGGCTACCGGGGATCCATCTCCCCACCAAGACTCCTCACTGTCCCACCACAGATCTTCTGCGGTCCACTCAATTTCATTCAGTTTTCCTTTCTTTCCACCTTTACCTTTGCCTGCTTGGTTTCCGTTTCCAAATTTTCCTTTCTTGAACATGTCCTGTTTTACCCAAGAACTCTTTCGTCCGTCCAAACCTTTTGAGCCTTTGCCTTGACCCTTTCCTTTTGGTCCTGCAAAGCGAGATTGCGGGCAATTCATCGAGACATGTCCTGTCTGGTTGCATCGGAAACACTTGATTTTGGTCAAATCAACACTACATTCATGAGTCTGATGTTTCTTACTCCCACATTTTCCACACTTTTGTGCGGAACCCTGCAACTCATCAACAAACCAATTTTCGTCATTTTCACTCAAATCAAACCATTCTACTCCTTGTGGTTGTTGCTGCTCCTCCTTGTGGTGTGTCACCTGAGATACCTTTTTGCCTCCTAAAGGGACCAAATCCGTAAACATCCTTTGCTGCTGTTCCCATCTACATGCTGCACTTCGGTATGCTTGGTAGCTTTCTCCTTCTGCATGGTGCAAAACATAGTTGCGCACGGTTTCTGGCAAACTGCGCACCAACACCATGAGCAAATCAGCTTCTGACACCTGTAGCCCTACAGCATCAACCGTCGACGGGAGTGTACTCAACAATCGCTGATATCTAGCAGCTTCAAGTTCGATACGTCGTACGGTATCACTCACGAGCGACGAAGGAGATGTTTCTTGAGCCGTGAGAACAAAACTTTTGGATGCCAACGCAGTTCGAAAAACAAGTGCTTCATTGCGTGTCCTCAAGGAGTATTCCTGCGTAAGCTGACGCAGAAGCTCATATCCGTTCGCACTGGTTCCTGCACTACCGTCAGAGGTCATGGCCTGAATGTCCACTCCTTCCATGAAAGCATGGATCAACGTGGCACTCCTGGGATGGCCCATGAACGTGGATCTCAAAATAGCCAACAAACGCATACTACGACTTCTCATCACCAACGTCATTGATGACCAACGGATTGGTGTGCTCCACCTAGACGCTTGCAGAATCTCAGTCCCAAACTGCAAAGATGCTTGGGACGCCCATGCTGACAAATCCGCCACATACTGCGCCCAATTGAGCACTTCACTTTCACGATCACGCCACTTCTCAAAGGATGGCTGAGGTGGATTTCCAATCCACTTGTCCGTCCGTGAAAATGGATCATTCTGGTTCCAACCACTGTCACTACCTGCACCATCAGCTTGCTGCCGTGCACTCTGCGCTTCCACTGGCAACGGCAAACCTGCCGCCAACAAGTCAGGCATGAACGGTTCTGCTGGCGCACTCCGTACTTGTCCAAACAAATCTGGTTGTGCATGAGTCCTTCTCCGAACTTGTTCTTGAAAGTATTGAGCTAAGGATAGAACCTGTGCACCAGACATACCCTCTGCTAAACGTACAACGTCTTGCACTCCAACCGGATTCACACCTAAACAGGGAAACAAAGAGCCACAACCTTGTCCTGCCTGACCTACAAAACCACTGCTACATCCAGGTCCTGGTGTGCAACTGCCACAGCAACCGTATCCTCCACAATTCCCAACTGAGATTCTAGGATCGCCACTTGCTAAGTTGGGCACTTGGCTAGGGAACTGACCCAGTCCTGGCGCAAAACCACTCAGGTTCGGACCACT